TTTGCTGCTGTTTTCATATGAGGTAACCTGTCCCTCGCATTAAGGATGCATCCCTTTCTAAGCCAAGGAGTTTTGTACTATGTGGTTTCTATCCTTTTATGGCCATATTTATTTCTTTGCATGTCTCAATGGGGTATTTGTTTTGAGAAAGACAATTATGTTTGGTATTTGAATGATGCTAAGGCCATGTCCACGGGTGTTGGTGTTACAGTATGTTTTTATTTAATATCAAATTTTATTATAATAAAGTCTATTTTCACAAAATACATCTTTTCCTTACAAAAATCACACAGTCACTATTGCTTATTTTTAAAGATTCTACCTTTTCCCCCCACCATCCAGAATGAGAGGCCATGGAGCACTAACACTCCCAGAACAGAATGACAGCTCCCCACACCGAGGAACATGAGAAACTTAAGTTAGAAATGTGTTCTAAGGGGCTAAGATGCCACTAGGCCTCCATCGGGGTGGGACAGGCATTGTCCTGGAATTACTGTGGGTGCTTTATGGCCCTGTATGCCACAAGAAGAGGCTGAAAGGGCTGCAGCAAGGGCAGAATTTAGACCAGTTTGTCAAATTCAATGTTTAATTATTTTGTGTCTCAAGAGGTTATTCTACACCCTTGGACACAGCAGGTGTTTTGCCACTTACTTTGGTAGGAGCAGGATTGAGCTGCAGGTTGTAGCTGCCATGGTTTTGGCACTATCCCATGCATGCATAAAAGAGAGTAATTATTTCATGGTGTGCAGGACAAATGTATTTTGTCTGCTTTGTGAGGGGTTGCATTCACACAAGGGAGTTAAGTGTCATGATGCTCAGCATTGCCAACCTAACAGTTAGGCCACAGTTTTGTTGTAAGGGTGGTGTCAGCTCTTGCTAACCCTTCTGTCAGAGCTGTTCCACTTGGTATAAACTAAATAAATATTCACTGGGCAAGAAAGAAAGAGTGAGGAAGACTCTAATGTGAGTGAATAACCTGAGCCTGTTGCTATTTAAATTGTGTGTACAAAATGGACTCCCACAAGAGAGACTGAGAGGGCGCCTATAGATGTGCAATGAGACTTCTCTGATGCACTGTAATTACAGTGCGTCAGAACAGACTCAATTAACTGAGTCTGCTGGAGCATGGTAATTACTGTGCACCAGCAGACTCCAGCGTCATGTGTATCAGTGTCCCCACACTGAAAAATGGCGTACTTTAACTAAAGCTTATTCCATGAGCTTCAGTTAGTGTCCCTGCTGCCATTTTTCAGTGCAGGGATGCTGGTACACGTGACACTCTGGGTGCTTTAATTAGAGGGGCTCTCAGAGCCCCTCTAATTAAAGCACCCCCCCCCCACACACACACACACACACACTTCTGGAGCATGTCTATAAACACCCAGACATTCCCACCCACAGCAGACTGTCCTATAGCCTGATAGGTGGTTTTACATCTGGACCACAATGGAAACAGGAGTGTTTTCAGGGTTCAGCCAGGTTTTGTGAATGTCAGTGATGTTTAATGATGGACTCAGGTGCCTACAGAGGCAATTCATCACCATAGTCCCCGTTGAATCTAGCCTCATTGTGTCAAATGTGCCTACTGGGATTCTGCTTTCCAGGGATTAGACTTTCCAAATATTCACCTATAGGCAGAGACCAGGTCTGGAAACTCATCTCTAAAAGGAAATATTTAGGGAAATTGTCTCTTTTAGCTACAGTAATGATCATGAGCCACTCAGCTGCTGCGGTGAAATGTTTAAGAAAGTTGCTTTACTGTAGGGTGCTCAGAAGAAAGAATTTTTGAAATATTTCAAGTCGGCCTGAGCTAACCATCATCAATGGGCTGGAAATGGCCACAGGAATGGGTAAATTTCCCCAACCCCTTGGACACAAAAAGTGAACCCTGGAGGTTAATACTCCTCTTAGGCTGGATCTTTTCTGCAGCTAAACCTTTAGGATCAGATATACTCATGCATATTTCCATATAGTTGCCTGGAAAGTTTCCAGAAACACGTTTTCCTCCATGCATTATAATCACTCACATGGATCTGCCACCTGCTCAGTTTTAGAGGAAGTTGATTTGCAGTTATAACTGAAAGCATGGAGTTTCTTAAGTGGCATGTTTACTGTTTGGACAGTTTCTTTCAACTTCCCTAATGTTGCAGTTGTTATTAACCATTTCCTAGTATGGCTATTTACAGGACCTCTCCACTCTGCTTTAGGTGAGAGGGCAGGGAATTTTTAGGGTATATTTGGTCAGTATCTTTGGTTGAAGTAGGAAAGGAAAATAAGTGGCAGTACCCAAGTTAGGTCTCAGATGCCCTGCTCATTATGTAAAGTACATAAAAAGGTGCCCTGGGTAAGGTGTTTTCATGACCTATTGTGAGCTAGTTTCTATAACTTTAACATGATGAATTGGTCCTCAGGGCAGAACCAGATAAAGAGATCCAGATAAAAATGATTTCTAGTTTATCTGAAAGAGTCCTTGTTCCACTAAAGCAGCTGAAACTAGCATCATCATTCCTGTCCTGCTGTAGCTCCATACAAATCACGGAAAACCAAAGCTGTGTAGACGGATATGTACCTTTGTGTCTGTGTACATGAACATGCAGCTACATGGAAAGACAAGAGGAGACAACACTCAAGAGAGCTAATTTGACACTGAGCAAAGACAAAAGGAATGGGTGTGGTGGGGGAAATGATGAACATCTGCTACAGAACAGAGAGGACAAGGAGAACGGACATGCCTGGAGGCCAAAGCCACTGGACAGTGCACATGGGTGATT